CCCACCCACTCCCCTTATCATTTATAGAACTTCAGTTGCTCTCCTAAGATAGAAAAATGCATTTTTCTGCTATGCTATGGCTTATAACAAAGGTGTGTATGAATACATGGTAGTCAAATGTAAGTCAGCGCATAGCGCAAACTTTCCAAAAAAATAAAGAATGAAAAAGGTCAAATTTACCATTTTCAAGAAAACTTAGAGATAATAGAGAATGGTTTTTGGGGAAAAAAAATATGAAAAATTACCGAACCCACTGAAGCAAGACGCTTTCATTAGCCAGAGAGGGGAGAGTGATCTAAAGACTCTTTCATGAGAAAACTGAGTTCTACTAGTCCATGCTGATTAAAGCGATTATGTAATATGACAAATATGTCTCACCATCGCTACGACTAGGCCAATGGAGAACTGATTATCATGCAAGGACCTTAGAAAAGTAAATCTTTTAATGTCAAGTATGTTATAACCGGGAGCATAGGGTACATGATAAATGTCCTCGACAGAACGACTTAAGAATGGTTGAATTCCCAGTGCCGTTAAACGCTTGTAACTGGCACAAACAAAAAGCGTGGTTTTTTCAAATTACTTAGACATAAAATTGAACGTCAGTCGACAAGATGAATTCGAATGGAGAAATAAGCCAAACGCGACCGAGTTAGCCTTTCTTTATGTAATTCAGGGGAGAAAACAATCCAAGAGTATAATTAATGAATTATAGAGCCACGATTACTACTCATCGGTATTAGGTGCTGAAATCTCTCATCTCATGCGCAGACACCCTCGACTGGATGTGAAGGACTATTTATTAATGAAAAACTGCTCCGAATTCGAGGCATTACTTAAGGGCTACTCCTATTCATTAGCACTACATGCTGAAAGTTATATCAACAAAGAGTAGCAAACGACAGGCGGATAGAGAAGGAAATGGATGCATAAATACGCATATTAAAACAACTTACAAATATCGGCTGAAGCCAGCTTTGGCCTAGAAATACTAAGTCCAGTATAGAATATGCCACAGACAACATGACACTTCTGGCAACGTTTCGCCAACACTCTGTCCGGTTGAAGACCCTGGGAAAATCATAAACGAGAAATATAATAATCCATCTGCCAAGATTCAGCCTGGAATCGAAGATAACCTACGAGGTCCCTTACCGTAACTTTGAATTCTTCACCATTGCAATGATTGCAAGAAAGCATAACATCAGCAGTTTTCGCATACACTTCCACCAGCATACAATTTGCCATTTCGAAGGTACCAATTCGAGAGCCGAAAGAATGAACATATTCAGCCGTGAAAACCATTCCCAACACATGTCGACATCTTTGGCAAGTCGTAGTACTTGGAGGTAGAGATGTCAGAGATCTTGGGACTTGTGGCTTCTTTTCGGCATCTCTATCCTCTTCTCCTTCTTCACTGTTAGCCTTAATATTATATGGAGGAAGTCGGAAGGTCCAATCAAACTGGAGCTTACAAATAGAGCAAATACACTGAACCGGAAGACGAGTGATTAGACCTGTTCCAGCATGTCCTCTCATTTCCAAACCCTCGAAAATAAGTTCTTGGAGTTGAACATTTGCAACCGTAATATCTTGATTTTTCACTTCCTCCGCCTCCTCCACCGTTTTGCACTCCTCATTTTCAACATGAGATTTTTCATCGGATGCTTTGGGGCGTTCAGTTTGTAAAGGTTTCGATTCCGGTCGATCATTAACAAAAGACGGGCCCATTGATAAAATTGATTCATGGAAGCTCTCAGGAATTCTAAGGTCGGAAGAGATGGCAGGCTGTTCCTCATCAATCTTTCAAAGGAGAAATCAGTATAAAGAAAGTATACTACCTTAGAATAAGCATTGGTGAAAATATCCTTCAATGATTTGTCCAACCAAAAAAAGAATGACCGGAGATAAAGTCCAACCTTGCCAGTGGAGCTATAAGTTTCGCAACGAGCCCTTATAAATTGACTAATGGCTTCATTTAATGCACTAAATGTGGCGATTAAAAATTGAACAAGAAATTTACCTAGTAACTGAATCTGGAATGTCAGACGTTCGTGGAGCACTTACAATAGGTGGAGACACAGGATAATCTTTAGGCAGAATAATAGTAAGAAGAATTTGTTTCACCTCAAAAGTCTAAAAATTTAAATGGAAACAAAATGAAGAATTACCCAATCAGGGTCCTTAGAGGAAAAAAGGAGAGAAAATATCTTAGTTTTCTCGCTTGGATCGGATGTCTGTTTTAGATGACTCGGAGTATAGAGTTTGAGGAAGCGATCAACTTCGAGATTACGCATTTTATCCAAGTCATCTGGGGTAAGATCTCTCAGAAATCCCTGCTCAAGTCGAGTAGTTGGTTTCTGAACAGGTGGTCTAGCAGGATTAGGAGCAATAGCAACGGAAGAATGCTTAAAAGTTGATTGAAGACCGGTTTCTGGAGCTAGTCTTGAGATAGGAGGCCGAAAATATTCGCGTTGGGCTTTGTAATCATCAAGTGTCATTCGACCAGAAAACTCCGAATTATCAATTTGATGCGAGCGAGTGCAAAAATCGCCATATTTGCATTGCCCAGCAAGAAAAAAGGGGCAAGTAGTTGGCACCGCAAGTTCAGTATTATTTGATGTAATAAGTCTGTCTAAATCATGACGAAAGTGACATTTATTGCCATATTGGCAGAAGCCAGCGTTAAAATATTTGCAACGCTGAGTGGGATGAGCAAATTCACAGTGCTCCCCTTTAAAGCACATTCCTGCATGGAAGAACTTGCAAGGAGGTGGCAGGTCCATGGCACGCAAAAGTATCACAGATCCGGGGGAAGGCTATAAATGTGTAAAATATGACCTTTAGGAATTTGAACAAATAAAGCTGAAACCCCAAAGCTTATCTTGAAATAATTATTTAATATTATGATTTGCTTGCTTAATATTTGTATATCTAGTTCTTGAGTTAATAAAAAATTCAAAGCATTGAAAGTACTTCTAATGTAAGATCAAAAAAATTACCTTAAAGAATTGTTCACAAAAGAAAGTTTGATTTTCTTTAGTGAAAAGATCATTTTAAGGGAGTAAAAGAATTGAAGAGTGTTCAAAAGATTAGGCTGTCACTTGCGCATAAAGCAGTTATTTGAAATTTCTGACAAAAAATATAAGACGATATTTTACCTTGCCTCTTTCTTTCGGATAATTCACATTAGCCGAAATCGACATATGATATTTTGCAGCAACGTTCGGATATTATGCAATACGCCTCGTTTTTAATTTAAATAATATTTTCTCAGACACCTTCAGATTACCCACTCAAAATTATTATAAGCTTTGATATCCATTGACCATTTCTTTCTCTATTACAGCAAAACTACTTCAAAGAAAAGTTAGTATTTTGTAAATGGATTAAATGACCAAGAAGATTTAGATATTTATTTTAAATCTTCATCGTCACAGTTCGAGTGAAATTTATTTTAACACTACTGCCATTAATGATATCAGTCCACGACGTGTAAATGTGCATGTTTATCTAACTTCTGAATTGTTTCAAGTAGTCATCAGGCAATGTATTCAACTTTTCAACCTAGTAAAATTCATTTATTCAGCCCATGCCGCTTATTAGAATAACGCCAACTTTGGACATCCCTACCTATTCATTATTTATATGAACTTTCTCTAGATCTTACTTCAGACCTGCCTCCGGGATTTCATTTCTCACCACTCAATTATACAGATCTCTTCTATCTTGCTTTATATGCATAAATATTGCAGTCATGCAATCAAGTTAGTCACTTTCTATCTTCAGCTCCCACCAGCTTCTATCTTCGATGCCTTAACAACAATTTGCCTTTGTATTCTTTCAATGAACCATTTCCAATTTTATATCTCGTAATCATTTTCAGAGAAATATGCTTTTTGGAACTTTGGCTTTCTCTTTACTCTTAATTAACACCTTATTAACTTGCAATAATATATATCTACTTAGCTCTTAAGCTCTCCAGAGAATGGGAAAGTGCTCTCCTAACCTTAACCCTGGAGGCCAAGGCTCCGTCTAAAATACACTTAACACGTAGTGCTATCATATGGCTACTTGTTATATTCTCTCTAACCAGTCTAAATGGTTTAATCTCGGTGTAAACTTTATTAGATTTATCTGCGTTTTTGTAGTCGCTGTATAAGCAGCATATTCATGAGCTTAAGGATATCTCTTATCTGCAAGTGAGGTAATTGAAATCTCTTACGATATTTTGAAAAGTGATAGACGCTTTTCAGTTCTCCCGTAAGATTTCACTTGGAAGTTCTCTACCTTGGAATAAAAAGGCGTTAATTGCACTTTTTCGTTAAACCTCGAAAAATTATTCAATGAAAGACATCGTTTTTGGCCTTATTTTTATCAAAATTTGAGTATTTTCTCGATACCAAGTTAAAAGCATCAAATAATTTCATTCTATATTGGCTTTGACATTTATGATTTAGAGATCACATGAATATTCGAATAAATTTTCGATGAGTAAACTTAAGCAAACCCATTTTTTAAATGTTAGTAGACTCTAACCCAAAATTTATTACAATTTCTGTTAGTGGAAACGAACATTGCAAATTCATTTAACAGGATCTCAAATAATATAATAAAGCAAACCAATCATTATTACTCCATTGGCCAGATACAATAGGTTTATTAAATATATCATTCGTTTCCAGCGGCTTGCAAAGCGTTTTAAAATGAAAAAACGGACATTGGTGCTTCGATTTTAGAGGAAAACTGAGAAAGCAATTTGACAAACTGATTGGCCGGTTGTTCTAGACCAACCAGTTAATTCAAACAAACGTTGAACGAAACAAACAAATCATATGTTTGGAATACATTAATTGTGCTAATTATAAGTTTGCCAATCGATTGTAGTGACATGACAAAAAAATGCCATTAACATAGTGCACACAATGCAAATTATTTTCGACCTTCCCAAAATAGCTAATGGGAGTAGAGAAACAATAGTCTCTATGGCAAAGTCTGCACTCAATCTAGACCTATGCGACATGCAGTACGTCCGTAGACCAACAAAGAGCTTGGATGATCGTCGTGTGAGAAGCGCTCTTACTCACTATCGCGAAGATTCTTTACAAGAACTACTCAATTTCTCTATATTTAAACAGGATAGTGACCTAGAAAAGGTGAATCTATTCTCCTTTATATCATATTGCTTGTAAGATTAAAGAAGACACAATCTGGGAAAAATGTTCTCGCTTAAACTCAACTGCAACGAGAGTAATAATGAAAAACAAAAGTGAAAGACAGCAATTGAAGGTTACGAATGTCGCCTTAGACCGACAACTGGCGCGAAATTTACGTCAAATTGAGTTAGAAAAGTCCGAATTGAATGACTGGTGGCAAAATAAAGTTAATAAAAGACCAAAAATGGCCTACTTTTCAAGATAAATGCAAAATACTTTCATATATTACAAACGTCTCATTAACACTTCTGAAAGCGGGTTTTTAGCTTACACAGTTCCAATAAGAAGTATAGGAATAGATAAGAGCGTTTTACAAAATGTAACTAGTTCACCTTTACTTTCCTCAGCCTGAATAAATAATAAATTAATGAAATATGGGTGAATTATTAAAGGAAAATATGAGAATAAACTACCTTAGACTAATGCATTTGATTTCACGAGCTCCCGCACCACATCAACAGCTGGCATTTGATTGCTTGATTCAATAGCTTGCTGACGATTATCTTCCTCAAGTTTTCGTATCTTTTCGCCACAATGCTTAACGACCGCCCGTTTATGTTCTTCAGGTAATTGGTCCCAATTATAGAATAGTTTGGGGTTTTTCAAAACTTCCTTATACGCCAAGGAATTAGCTAAACAGCAAGTCTGCATGTGCGGAACGACAAATTCATCATGGGGCTCTACAAATTTTATTGAATATGCAGACATTTAAGAATTTCGTCTTCTCACCATGCTGTTTATTAGCTTCGTGGTTATTTGGTCTGCCCTCCATAACATCAAAATAGCCGATATATGATATTCTATCCAAAAAGTATTTCGGTGTGATTAATACTCTGAGGTATCAAGGAAATCAAAATCTCAGTAGAAAATATAAACAACTTCCTCGATTCATAGGATTTTCATTCACTTTTAAAGTTATGATCGTAATCAGATGTACCTTACTGAATAAGCTGAGAGGATTTACTATAACCGAATCGGTGTGTACGGTAGACTTACCTCCACGTGGTGCACCCTGTGCAACGTAAACTCATACGGCAAAATAGTCTATAAACCGGCAGTTGACTTCTGACTTCAAACTACCATCACCCCACTGTATGTCATATTCGACTACTTCCACATTACTCACCTCACCTATTTTCTACCTTTGTGTCTGTCTCTTTTACATCTTTGAAACACTTTTGTCCCCCCTTCTCGACATTTTTCAGTTTGATGTTCCTCCCCTATATATGAAGCCTGAAGTCAACTAAAGGGCTAATGATAACTATCACAATGCCTGCCATTCGATAAAAAACTATAACCTAGTCTTTTTAGTGGCTTCAATTTTAATAAAACCATTATTGACTAAGTATGCAGATCAGAATGCGGAGGGATCTGAGCCATTTCGGTTGTAACTTGTTGTAACTTTTATAAGCGAAGAGATTCAGTTCTGGTGCTGTTACGATTTATTAGTCCACTAGATGGGACTTAACCGAAGCTGAATGGGGCTGAAATGTGAACGGTAAAATGGAGTTTAATTAACAAATGGCATTTTAAATCAAGAAATGGACTCCA